TTCTGTAAGGAGGATGAGTTGGATTCTCGGGGATGTTGGGGCACTTACGGGACATTGAAATCATACAGGAAGGAGTGATAAGGCGTTATGGGGCATTCTACAGATCTTATTAGTCCTTGGATTCGGTGGCGATTGAAGCGGTATACGGGTGACGAAAGCTGGGCCATCATCGTAGTTTGTGCCAGCTTGGAAGAGTCCATGCCAGTGCTACATGTGTCCTGGATTAAGGACCCAAGAACAGCGATCATAAAATATTTGCTAACGATACTGGTGCTCTTGACCATGGTGCTGTCAGTGAGTTGATCTACGATGTTCAGCTTGAAGTTGGCTCCCTGACCCCCATCAATCAGAGGGTGCACATGAGGAGCCTAGAAAAATATTCTCACCTTGTTCCCTTTAATGAGTGGGCCAGGGAAGGTGCCGCCCGCGAGAACAGTTTAATCCCGGTGTGTTTGCTTCCGAGTCATTGAAGCCGCGCACATAATGAGTTAAGTTTGATATTGAAGCGCGATTCTTGGTGTCCACGGTGCGTGGTCAATAATTGAACGCCTCTCATTATCAACTTGAAGCCAGTAGAACACGAGTGGCGGCGATAGCTCACGCCTCAGCGCTGATCTTGAGCGGCCTAAAATAGTCATGTAAGAGAGATGTCTTAAAGCCGAGGTCGCAGTGCGGACCGACGGGCATCAATCCAATGACTCACGAGAATGACAGATCCGGGAACGTAATCTGACGCCCCGTACATAGGACCCCCGAATGAGTAAGGGTCCAGTAGCCATACGAACATTCGGCACTCCGCCTCTACATGCGGTGGGAAAGCAAACAAACACTATGACTATGATTCTGCCCCTCATGAGTTTTTTATATCCACGCAACCTCCACCTTCGTCCGCGGTTTGTTTTCAGGTACACCGCCGATCTCGTTGGTCATCCCATCCAGCAAAAATAGACCTGTCTGAAATTGCCCTATTTGGGCTACTAGTACCCTGGGATCGCCGGTGACTGTTCGTTTGAAAGATTCGGAGACTAACATTGAATTGACTTTTCTGCTGCGTAATACGGTTTCCCGCGTTGTGTCGGTCTCAGAGAAAGATAGACGTCGATGAATCTTCCCCTGGATCGACGTACTTCCCCGCGTTCGCGTTTGAGTGGCGGAGATCGCTATCTGGGGTATTTAAGTTGATTCCGCGTCATTCCTGCTACCGTAAGGTACAGGTCTTACAGAGCCTGATTTTCAAAAGTTGGCCGTACATCACATCTTCGTCAGCACTTTTTGCGTAAGCTCCTCTTCTCCCTGCCAAATTCCATCGGCTTGTGGAGGGCCGAGCATTTTGCCGATGATGGCAGGCCACTGGCTCGTCAACACGCTTATTCAAGTTATTGCCGTTTCTCATGGATGTCCCAGATGTTGGCGAACACCTCAACATCCTTTCAGTCCTGCTCCATCTAGGCCTTTAAACACTAGAGAGCTAATTCACTTGGAGTTATAGTGTTGCTGAATGGCACAGCATGTACTCATACTTCTTTTTCCCTCCCTTTGCAACCAGAAATACTCAACTGGGTCCAGACAGATCGAATTCAGACTTGAATTTCTCGCTGCTGTTTGGCGCTGTAGCGCCGCACCTCTTCAGTGTAAAGGTGTGGCACTGCAGTGGCCCTTATCTTTCCGACTCTTCAGCATCTCGAGTTGCGGCGAACCGCCCAGACCTGCTTACACCCCGCATTATCATCGGGCTTTGCTCGCCCCAAACCCGCTTACAGTCTTCTTCTTCTCGTCTTTTTCTTGGTGTGACTGTTGTGCTGACTCTATAGTATACGTGATGAATGACTGTCTTCAGATTTCTCGCAAGATATACTAGAGAGGCTGAAGCGAGCCTGCTGACACGTCGGGAACCGGGAAACGCGCATTGTCGCTTCCTATCTTGCCTTCAAATGTACCATTGCTTCTCCCAAGCTTTAATCCATATGGACCTCTATTCCTGTGAAGAATCTTCCATGGACATTTTCACTGAGGATATAACAGCACTCAGTCACCTGGCACAGTCCACGGGCCCCGCCCTCGCACCACTCAGCGCCGGTGCCCTCGATACCTAAACAATCCCAATGGGGAAAAGAACTGTGACAAACCTTGATTATGTCCGCCAGGAGCTGGTCCTGGTAATTTACTAATTGCACAAATTAAATTCATTTTGCCTCGCGGATCACGGGACGGCAAACATTGGAATTGACTTGATTTCTCTACGTATTTTTCACGCTCGAACTAACATGACCTTCGTCTCGATCTATTTCCCTGTCAGTCAGTAGAACGAAAGTGTCACAGTTCCGCGGTAGTACATTTGACCCGGCATAAATAAACACAGCAGCTTGTGAGCGCTAAGTAGTGCACTGCGGATTTACCCGCAGGTAGGAATCCACACCCTGCTGTTTCCAAGATTCACCTATCCGCTTCCAACTGTAACTGGGCAATCCGAGTTGCACCTCCCGCAAGCAAGGACACTGCTCGATTAGCCTCGCGAGGACCTGATGGCGCTTCGCCAAAGAAATTCGTAGGAGGTCTGGTGAGTCGGTCTTGAGTCGAAGAACCTCGATTGTGGGCGGGAAGGAAATGTGGTCTTTGTTGATCCGATTCAACATATCCTGGTTAATGTTCATGTCAGTACTGCGGCGTTGATCGAACGACGATACGCACCGCGAGCCGAGTGAAAGCGGGGAAGCGGTCGTCCGGCAGCTCCCTTTTTTCAACGATGACCACGGTGGCAGAGGATGTGTCTTCTTCCGCATCTGAGACCTCCTCGGGAGGGAGTTCGTCAAACGCGGTGTCATCGCGCAGCAAAGGTCGGCGATTGTCTACACTGTGACTTCGAGGACGCGGGAACCCGCAGATGTTCACAGGGCCCTCCAGGATATCGATCGACAACTCTCGGAGGCACGGGAACAAGGACGCGAGGGCAGCCAACGACTCATCGGATGGAGCTCTCGAGGCGATACCGAGGGATAGAAGGGGTGCGGAGGTATGTGAGATGTCCAGCAATACAGGCAGGAGGCCTTCGTCTTCTGCCTGCGCGACGGTCCAATCTACCAACGCCTTCACGATGCTGACCGGCCGCCTCGGCGCAAATAATCGGATTAATCTCGATGGTGCAGTCAGATGTCGCAGATCCGGTGTGGTGTCGAGGGAAAGGGATTCCGGAAGAGTGATGATGGGATAGCGGGAAACGGATTTTATCTCCAATGATTCAAGCCGTGGACACTGCCTCAGGAAGGAGAAAAACAGCTTGACATGGGATAGCTCGTCCAGCGATACCGCAATGAGGTGAGGGAATTTGCCAGATCCAAACCCGGTGATCAGGGACCACGTTTCAAAACGAGCACCAAGTTGTAGATTCTGCAGGTGCTCTCGAGATGCAATTTGGAGCGGGTGTTCGACTGGGGTTTGTGCACCGGGGCTCCGAATTCCAGATATTCCAAAAGACTTCAGTTTCATGAGAGGGCCTTCACGGGCTATAATGTCGCAACCGCCGAGAGTCAGATCGTCGAGCACGGATAGAGACAACAAGGTGTCTCTAAACGAAGTGTCGATGGTTAGTCCCCGGAGATCCAGGGACCGCAGGTTCTGATAACGGCCGAGGGTGGCGGAGAAGGTCGCGATGACCCTATCGTACATGGTGTCAAACAGCCTGAGATTCGGAATTTCCGGATATCTCGGTGCCACTTGATACACATAAACCTCGTTTCTGGCGCTGAATTTCCAGGACTGCACCGACAGGGCGTGGTCTCCTTCCGCCAACCGATCCAAGCGACCTGCAGTCCGATGCAGACGGCGGACAAGATCTATCCAATTCTTCCGGTCGAGTGTCTTCTCCACTGCTGCGACGTCAAAGTGTTGGTACTGAAGTAAAAGCGGGAAGCAGAGAGATCGAAACAGCTGACACACCAACGAGATGCGGCGGAGTTGTCGACGAGAACACAATGTCCAACATGCCAGCCAGATTTCCGTGGGGAGGACATGAAGGTAAGGCATGGGTGGGCTGCTCATGGTCGTTGTGGTGCAGAAGCAAGAGTGTACAGCATCGATGCCAACTCATATCACCTTCACAGCATCGTTGTCAAGAAAAATTTAAGATCCATGATAAAATCAGATCGATCAAGTTTCATTGAATTGAAGTCCTATTCTTTGGCGTACTCGACGAACAAGGCTACACCCGATCAACACGTTGTGCTAACGATTAATAAAAATAAGGAGGAGTGGAGATGAAGTACACAAATACCCATGGGACCAAACTTGCGACGCGTGAGATACTGATGACTCGTGCAGGATGCTCACAAAGTTTCGTTAGAAGTTGATGAACATAGCAACTAGAGATAAATCCATTTGGGGCAATTAAATGTATTAATGAGGTCATGACACCATTTTTACGCGGCTTGTGTCCCCTAAAACGTGTCGTTACAGCGATTGCGCGGTTAATGAACTGAACAAGAGACCACGTGACCACGTGAGTTCAAAATCGCCTTTGTACTGCCGAGACTCAGCCGACCATCACTTTCCCGGAGCCACCACAAGCCCACGCCCGAGAGTCAAGTGGGCCTCCCCATGCTCGCGGATAGCGATGGCCGCGGGCGGTTCCTCCCCCACACCCTATGCCTCCGCTCACGACTCATTGAAATCAGGGACAAGATACCCGCGCTGGAGTCGCATGGCAACTGGCACACCTACGTGTGGAACGGGCGGGTGTTGGAGAGCCTGAATTCGATCATCTACCCCATCTTGACACTGCGTCTCGGAATCACCTCCAAAATATTCATCCACTTTGTACTTCCACGCCGTGCCCATTCCATTGTGAGTGGCGAGCGTTTGCAGTGCATCGCGAGCCATAGCGCTCCCGACTTGTCCTAGCTCCACTCATTCCGCGGGTCCGAACGCAGGCAATCTCTGAATGAATTGGTCGATCTCAACGGGCGAAACAGCGATTCAACCATGAAGGTCTAATGGAGGCTAATAGAGACCCAGTGGCGGATGGTCCGCGTCTGCCTTCATTGCTATCGTTCCACTGAGCCGACAGTAGAAGCCGCCCGTTCGACTCGGGCCTGGGTTACTAGATGTGTTGTGGCACAGTTTTTTGTTCCCTGCCTTTGCTTCAATTCTTCCTGGCCTGAGTCCAGAATGTGCGTCCCATTTCTGTTTTAAAAAAATCTTCTGCGGCTAGTCTAATTTTAATGTTCTTGGGTTTCATTTCTGGCGTGCATGACTCGTTTATGCAGGGTGTCACGTAGTTTGTGCCACGGTGGTGGATGCTCCGGGTTCCATTACCGGGGTCGCAGAGATGACGAGCAGAGTAGAAGGTGCCCGCTTGGGTTGAACCGGTGGCGGATGGTCCGCATCCGCCTTCATTGTAGGTCTCCAAACATTGGAAGCAGAAACCACCCATTCGACTCGAGCCTGGGCCACTTCATGTACTTGAAATAAGTTTCTCGTGTTCGGTTCCATTCTTCTTTGCTTGAATTTCGGAATTGGATGCTCATTTCATTCAGGACGCAAGGAAGGTAAATAGAGACCCGGTGGCGGGCGCTCTGCATCTGTGTTTCATTCGGCCGGAATTTTCTCCTAAAACACAGAAGTTGCCCGTTCGACTCGGGCCTGGGTCATAGAATATGCGCCGCTTGGCATTTTTATCCCCGGCTTTGCTTCAATTCGTCGCTGGTTGAAAATCTCTCCCATTTATCCAGGTTCACAGCGAAGATAATGCCAACCCGGTGGCGGACGGTCCGCGTCTGCTTTCCTTCCGGCTTGAAGTTTGGTCGTTCAGCAGAAGGCACCCGTTCGACTCGGGCCTGGGTCATTCATGCCCGTTATGCAATTTTTCAATTTTTGTTTTTTGTTCTTGCACGCAACTCACAAAGAGAAATTGAATTCGTGGTGCTATTTTCATGTACCCCTCCTTCCTTTCGACTTGCTTACACGAGGAAAGACGATTTTAAGTCAAGCGGCCGGCAAAAGCCGAATGCAGCCGCCTGCGGACCAAAAACCAAACAAGGCAAACTTGATGCCTCCTCCCAACCTCCCGCCTTTGCTCCCGCACCACGATCTGCGCATAACACTCGCTTTGATCCTGCTGAATTCGGTACAAGTCGCTTGGTCTTCGCATACAAGTCGCTTTGACCGCCGCATGCGACGCCCTTTCGCTTGGACCGCCACCAAGGGACGCTGGGACCGCCCGAACTGAACGAACGAAAGCTTGGACCGCCACGAAGGAAAGGAACATGGACAACACGGGCGGCCTGCAGCTGAGCGTGGTGCACCCGCTCATGGAGGAGTTCGCGAGTCGCGGTGGCTCGTTTTCAGGTCCGTTCTTGCATCTTTCTTCATACTTCAAAGAATAGTATTCTAACGGTTAAAATGGGATGTAGAACGAAGCGCACGCCTCCGCGCTGAAGCTGCAACACCACGCGCTCGACACGTATGTGCTGTCCGAGCGGGTAGCGCACCTCGAGGGCGAGAACGCGCGACTGCGCACCGAACTGGATGTCCTTCGCTTTTCGCCTCTCCTCTCCTCCTCCTCGGCGCAAGACGGGTTACAGAGAGCCCCGATACCGTAGTAGAGCTAACCCTCTCCCTCCGCCGCCTCTCCGCAAAGCTCACTCTCACCGAATCCGCACTAGCGGAACACGCCCTCGCCCTCGCCAGGCGAACACGCTGGCGGCGGAGAAGACACGCGCGGCGCACGAGGCCTATGCGCTCGCCAGGGGCGCGAGGAGGACGGGGTCGTAAGGATATCACCGCCTCCTCCACCGCCCTCGAGAAGCGCGTCTTCGCGCTCGAAAGCGAGCTGCAGGTCGCGGAGGTAAAGCTGTCCGCGGCGCGCGCGCTGAACGGCGGCGGGGGGCGAAGTCCGAGGAGGCGAGGGCGCGGGTGGTGGATGATCGGAGCGCGGCGGGGATGGTGGAGCGGTATATGTGCGTGTCCTTTTGTTTTCATCCTCTTCCCCTTTTCCTTTTCTTTTTTTCCACTGCTCGTGTCTGCGGGGGGGTGCCTGTCGGACCCACCCCCAACCACTTGTCGCTTTCCCTTCTCCTCTCCGCCGCACTTCTTCCCTCCGACCAGGCCCTCCTTCCGCATCATCTTCATCTTCCGCTCCCCTGCCCTTCATTTGCCAGCGCATCTTGCTTCTGTGAGCTTTGCAAGCCTAGCCGTCCACCTCGCAGCGTGTGAGGCTGGGGTTTTTCTGTGCCGTGCGAGGCTGGGGCTCTTCGTGCCAGCGCCGTGTGTTCCCCGAGGGCTCTTCGCGGTGCGTGAGGCTAGGGTCTTCCACGCTGCCGGTGTGCCCCGAGGGCCCTACCCCGCAGGAATTCGGCCCCTCACCCTCTGACGGCATCCGTGCGCGCCGTATGTGGTACGGTGCGGTATCCCAGCCGGAGTACCGAGGTATTCCAGCGCGAATAGCCAGCAATCCTTCCCTTCCCTCCCTTCACGCTTTCTCTTTCTGGGCGGTGCGCCTCTTTGCCCTGGGGCGTGGCGCGCCGCGTTTGAACCGAGCACGGGTGGCGGGAGTTCGGGACGCGCTGCGCATGGCGCTCGTGAGGCGCTGACTGCACAGCTGCGCGGATCCACCGAGCGCCCTATCTTTATTCCTCTCTCCTTCGTCCCTGTGCTGTCGTTCCCCGTGCTCTCGCGGCTTCATTCCCCGTGCTGTGCGCAACACATCACCTGCGGATCCACCGCGCTTTCGTTTATTTCATCTCGACAGTCGTGTGCAGGCGGGGTGTGCGCGTAGGTTGGGCGCTGTGCTGCGCTGCATCCGGGGAGTCAGTGTCGGGGGATGCCCAGCGAGCGCGGCGCGGTGAGGGCGGTGGGGGCGCTGTGTTCCGCGGGTCGCCTTCCCCGAGTCGCGTGCCTCCATTTCAGATGAAGGCTTCGCGCGGTGGGCTAGGTGGGCCGTCTCGGAGAGGGGCAGAGAGCAGTCTCCCCGCTCGTGAGACGTACGGCGGTATACCTGCAACGGGCGCACGCCTCTTCTCCTCCCCTCTTGTCTTTCTCGTGTTTGGCGCTCGGGCTTTTTTCCCGCTGTCGCGAGCGTCTTGCCTTGCGCGTGGATTGATCGAGCTGGCGCGCCACGAGTATCTTCTTCTTTCCGGTCGTTTTTCTCGCGCAGATCCCTGTCGTCCACCATGCGCGTTAAGGCGCTCTCGCACGGTGTGGGTGCTAGATGGCATGGGACGGGACGGACACGGCTTTCTTTCGCAGGCACATCATATCGTCTTGGCTTGCGGGCCCATACATGCATATCGTGGGCCTCGGGGCGTGTGTTTGATATATATGGTATAGTATGCGCTGCACCGTGCCGCTCGCTCGATGGGACAATGGCTGACGAAATTTATCAGTGGAACGACGTCAGCGTCAAAGTTTCGCGGTGGTACGTCCGACTCCATAACGTCATAAATAAATACAGCAGCTTGTGAGCACTAAGTCGGATTTACTTGCACATACGAATTCACACCATCCTGTTTCCACCGTGCACCCGTCCGTTTCCAATTCTTCCCCGGCAATCCGAGATTTGCCTCGCGTAGGAAGGGACACTGTTGGCTGAGGGCTGCGATGGTATGATGGCATTGTTCCACCGATATTGTGAGGCGTTCAGGGTAGGCTGGACCAGTCTTGAGTCCCAGGACTTCGATTGTAGGGGGAAGAGGAAATCGGTGAGCACAGATACGCCGGCAGGTATGCTGGTTAGTGGGTACGTCAGTGATGTCGCGGTAAGGTACGGGAGACGCTGCGTACCTGGAGCCTGGAGAGAGCAGGCCTGCTCCCTGCGATCGGCCCCGATTCCGGGACGACTATAACAATGGATGGTTCATCGTCTTCTGCATCGGAGATCGTTTCGGAGGGCAGGTCGTCGAAAGCGACATCGTCGCAGAGGGAGGGGGAGCGGCGGTCTACAACGCGCTCTTTCCGGAGCGGGCGACGGCCGTGCCAGCACTGCCAGGTGGCTTCTCGAATCTCAAGGACCAGCTCCCGGAGAGATGGGAACAAGGAAGCAATGGCGGCAATGGAGTTATCGGATGGAGATTTGGACAAGATCCCAAGGAAAAGAAGGGGTGCGGAGGTGCGGGAGATCTCCAACAGCACGGGCAGGAGGTCTGCTCGCTGTACGTCGATGACTCTCACCGCGCTGACCGGCCGATTTGACACGAATAGTCGGAGTAATAGTTGTGGGGCAGTGAGATGTCGCAGAGATGGTATGGTGGAAGGGTGAATGGAGTCAGGGACGGAGGGCACCTCCTTGGGGTCAAGTGATAATATGGCTAGGCGTTCGAGTCGGGGACACTGTTTCAAGACGGTGAGAAACAGCTTCACATCGGAGAGATCGCTCAGCGATATTTCAAGGAGGTGAGGAAATCCCTGGGGTCTGAAACCGGCGACGAGGGGCCAGGCGCGCATAGAGGGGAAGTAGAGGGTCTGCAGGTACTCCATCGATACGAGTCGGGAAAGACGCGTGTCGGACGTTCTGCTCCAAGTTTCCGATACCTTAAATGACTTCAGTTCCATCAGAGGTCCCTCCCCGGCTATAATGTCGCAATTGACGACGGTGAGACTGTCGAGCATCGGCAGTGACAACAAGGTTTCTCGGAACGGGGTGTCGATGGTGAGCCCCTGGATATGCAGAGAGCGCAAATTCTGGTAGCAGCTGAGGGTGGTGGAGAAGGTGGTGATGATCCTGTCGTATACAGTGTCGAAAATGCCGATATTCTGGATGTCCGGATGGCTCGGTGCGAGTCGAAATGGGTGTGCAGTGATCCGAGCGCAGAATTTCCAGGACCGCACCAACAAGGCATGGCGGCCTTCCGCCATCCGATCCAGGCGGACTGCAGTACGATGCAGATGGCGCACACGGGCGATCCAGTTATTCCGGTGGACTTTACGCTGCAATGGTATCCCGTCAAAGTGCTGGTCCGTGAACAAAAGCGGGAGGCAGAGCGATCGAAACAGCTGGCACACCAACGAGAGTCGGCGGAGCTGCCGAGTCGAACACAGTGACCAGCATGCAAGCCAGATTTCTAGGGGAAGATGCACAATCGGGGACGTACCCATGCTCCTCGT